CGGTCCCCGGGGCGGGGTGGCCCTCCCGGTGCCCTGGACCGCGGTGGCACGTCTGCTCCACCCTGTTCTCCGTCTCGTCCGACACGACATGCAGGTCGGACAAACAGGTAAGAACTGCCTACCACTCTTCTGGTGAAATCAAGGCGTCCCCATTAGTGCTCGTTTGGGATCCTGCTGGGCAGGCAGGTGTCAGAAAACCTTTATAAAAAGGTCAGATTTCTGCTTTCTAAACGTCTAGAGCAGAGCACTGCTGTCCGACGGCAACGTCATACAAACCGCACACGCGGTATTTTATGTTCTCTGGTAGCCGCACTGAAGAGACGAAATTAATTTTAGAAATGTTTTTACTCAACTAAATACTCCTAAGATACTATGAATTCAGCACTTAGACAAATTAACACCGAGACGCGCAGAGGCTGACAAGGTTACTGGGCCCCGTGGGCCGCACTCGACGCGCAGCTGGAAGGAGCCACGTCTAGGTCCCTGCGCTTCCGGGTGGGGCGAGCTGAGCGCGGCACGGGGCACAGCGAGGGGGCCCCCGCCACCGACGACGCACGTTATTACTTTCGCTGCCACCACCAGCTTCTTCGCAGAATGCGGGGCGACCTCGTCCCTCCGCTGTCGACCTCGGTCTCTGGCCCCGAAATCTTTTTGTTTTTTGGTTTTTTTTTGACAGCAGCTCCGTAAGACACAGATGTAACGTGAGGACCCATCAGACACACTAGGATGCCGGCTGCACGAGGCTGGGACACAGCCCCTCTGCTCACTGTTGTCGCCCGGGGCCTGGAGGCCCCTCGTGGGTACACACACTGACACGCTCCGCCCACCCCGTCCTAAACCCTAATTCGATCCAATAGAAACGCTGGCCCCGGGCACTAACCTGACCTTCGCCCCAGTCCTCTGCAGTGCCCTGCGGCTCGAGAAATTCCCCTGGTGTGGACAGAGGTGACGTGCTCCGCTGCGAGGTGACACAGAGCCCCGACATCATCCTCGACCCTTTCTTCTCATGCGCCACATGCACCGCCCACAGACCCTCGTGAGGTTGCCGTCGGGGCCGATCCAGCGTGGGGCAGCGGCCCTGCTCCCTGGGGGCCACCACGGCCGTCCCCACCTGATGGAGCCCCTGGTGCCCGCCGGCCCCCGCGGCCCGCTCACAACGCGCTAGCGAGAATCTTGCCAGCATCCAGCCGGGGCTCGGCCGCCTCCGCTAACCCCGCCCGCGCTCCTGAGCTCCCGGAGCCAAGGCCGAGCGTGTGCCACGATTCGCGGGGCCCCTCGCCCCGCACGCCCCCTGCCTGTTCCCTCCGAGCTCTGGCCCACGACTCCCGCACCCCGATCGCGCTGGCCCTGCGTCCCCCATCCCAGAGTCAGCTCGTGCCCCTCCACGTCGTCCTCCCAGGGAGGGCTGATCGGCGACCGTCAGCGCGGCCCTGCACGCTCACCCTACTCTGCCTTTTCCCTCCCCGCAGCACCAGCATCTCCTGACTCAGCGTCACCTTCCACCCCGTCGTGACGTGACGCGGACCCCAAGGACCGAAGCGCTCTGTCCGTTTCCATCCCTGGTGTGTGATGGTAACAAACACCTGTAAGAACGAAGCAAGCCTGGAGCTGCCGAGGAAGAGCCATCGGCCCGTCTGAGCACCAACCCCCGGCCCGTCTCGGCACCAACCCCCGGCCCTCTGCCGCGGGGACATGGGGGGTGTGTGCAGGGACAGGTATAAAAACGCACTAAGGGCGACAACGTTAAATGCGGGAAGATAATTACGAACGCTGCATCTGAGTTCGTATCTCTGGCTGAAAACTCCTTCACACAATGGTTCCGCTTGCCGTTTATTATGCGATCATTCCTCTATCATCGACAGATTTTTAACTTTAATATATGAAACAATGACCCAATATTGGCTAATAGAACATCACGCTCGCAAGCCAAGCTTTGCATAGATCCGGAAGGAGCACCGACGCTCAGGACACAAAGTGCTGACCGAAGTCAATACTCTTTAGCCAAATTCCGCCCCGTATCATAAGGGTCGCCGGTTCTCCGGTAACACGACGTTTATCCCGTATCGATTAACCACCCTCCCTCACCAGCGCTTACAGATTTCCCAGCATGTCTGGAGTTGAAGCTGACCTTTAAGCTTTTTGATAAAGCTTAGTATTTTAGTAAAACGAATACTGCTTTATCCAAAAATCTGTTCATAAATATGTAGAACATTTCTCAAAAATGCTAAAAACTAGTTAATACGATCTGCACGTAGTGTACGATCACCAATTAAAACGTCACACTTTGGGAAAACCGGTCTCCTTCGCTTCCTGAGCCCGTCTTCCCGTTTCCAACGAAGCTTCGCGGTCGCTTCTTAAAGCTGCTGTCGTGGACGACATGCTCCCTTCCACCTGCTCTTTCTACTACGGGACTGAATTTGAAACTTTGTAAATGAAGAAAATAACCCAAGATACACACATCTCGTTTTGCTATCTGTCCTGGTCTTTCTCCAAAGACGATTTAAAACAGCAGAAATGTGAAAATAATCACTTCTTTTCCCCTCTGTGCTTGACCAGCAGCAGTCAGAGAAAATGTCTGAGGAACAAAACTCAGGTATCCCAGAGGAAAACTCGTTAAACATTTATATTAAAACTTGGAGGTTTTCATTTCATTTACATATTTGAAGAATAGCGAACGTCTGAGATGCGAGGTCGAAAGTCTGCTCCAAGACGCGCGTCTTCGGACGGCAGCTGCTTCCGGCCGGTGCCTGCGGCCTCACCGCACGGCGACCCCGCCTTGTAACTGGCTGTGCGTGTGTCACTTTATTTTTTAAAAGCCTTTCGCTTACTTATCCACTCTTCGGAAAGCAAAATGAAACAAACAAAAAGGAAACCCATCAAATCGTTTATAAAAGTTGCTTTTGTACGATGGATGTGTGGGAAATTATTCTTTTTCTCTCCACTTTGTTCTAAACTTTACACTTTCCAAAGTAACAAATAAAAGCCTATTTTTATTTTCAGAGCCTCAAATAAGTTATTTGCTAGAAAGGAAAAAGTATTGTTTGAAGATTAGACGTGAAAATAGCGACATCTTTAAAATTTACGTCCTCCCTTTACACTACAGATTATAACTTTTAGTACCTTCTGGAAAAAAAAGTTATGAATTAACATTCTCAACTTCTAATTAGCTCATAGCACTGCAGGCCACCTGCACAGTAAGGTGTGGGAATAGCAACGTGCCAACATGAGGGGTGGTACGAGAACCCAGGAACCAGGAGAGAGAATTAAGAGTTTTCTTTCTGGAAAAAAAAAGGATGTTTTTCTTTGCTACTGCTGGGGTATGATTTTGACATTTAAAAATTATTTAATGTGACTCGAGCACAGTACTGACCCCGACTTAAAATGCCACTCGTCCTTACCTCCGAGGCAGCCCACGACCGAGAGCAGGAGCAGCTGTCTCCACGGCAACGTCATCCTCGGCGGCGGCGGCGGGCGGGGTCCCCAGCCAGCCTGCGACCACAGCACGCGGCGTCTCCAGTGAACCCAGTAATCTGTAAAATGCACGTACGTAGAAGTTAAACTCAAAAAAGTGAGTTGTTTCAAAAAACAGGTTTTCTTCTTTTCATAAAGCTGTATGCCACTCAAAATCCTCACATGAAATGAATCATTTCTGATGCCAAAAAGAAGATGTATGAAATGCAGATACTTTAAAAAAAAACATGTTACGCAGCTGACAGAAGTAGCACCGCAAAATCAGAAATCTTCACCCTGCTACAATGTTAAACATTAATATATTAAATAGCAAAATGTTTGCCACATAATAATTACAGCGAATAAAATAAAGCCCTGAGATGCTAACTTTTCTCATTTTCTCTAATGATCACGTTTTTGTAAAACTAAGAGTCGAATAAGCAGCTTTTCTGAAGTGCTGTGTTTCCTGCCCCTGAACCTATCACAGGAAATAGAAATTATAAACACTCCCCGTTCACCCTCAGCCTACTGTTTCAGAGACGGGGGGAGAAAGCCTCCGATGATACATGCTGCCTGGACCGGATCAGAACCTCTCACAGTGGACACTGCTCCGTCCGCCAATCCTGCAGATGAAACTATCTTCTTAAATGTGGGATCCGACGTGTGATGTGATGTAGTCGGTCAGAATACATTGTGTCCCAGGTAATTGTTTCAAAACTGACACTATGCAGCGTCCACGTCATGTTCTGAAAACCACGTACAGAGCCAGTCACACCTACAGCCACGCATCCGTCCTCGGTCCCCGGCCGCCTCGCACAGGTCCTTGGGGCGGGAACCCGGAGACTGTGCTCCCGGAGCTGCGGGGAGCGGCTGACGCCACCGTGGGCTCTGGGGCCGCGTCTCACCAGCCCGCCACGGCGGAGGGCGGGCCGCAGGCTGGCACCCTCGCATGCAAACGCTGCGAAATGAGTTCAAGGGCGAGCAGTTTATGTGGCAGGGCAAGGGCGGGAATGGCCGTGGCTGGGCAGCACGAGACGGGGGCGGGAAAGGCACAAAGCCGCCCGGACTGTGACGTGCAGGACTTGAGGCGCCCGCCACCCCCATCAGGGGCAGGGGAGCTGGGGCGTCTCACGGCACTCCGTAGTCACCGCAGGGAGTGGCACT